AGGGTCAGACACGACTGAATGACTGACAACAAAAAATGAATTTATAATTTTGTTTTGGTTTTGATGGTTAGGCAGAAAGGATCAAAGAAAAAAAATTGACTTATGTTGTAACCATAGAATAAGAATAAAAATTGTAATTGTACCTATAACTGCTATAAAAAAAATATTGAAAGCTACTTCTTTGTATCTTTTTCCTTTTTTTCTGCTTTTCTTTTCTTTTTTTTTTGCTTTCTTGTACTTATACAAGTACTCTTGTACTTTTATTTCTTCTTTTCTTTTTATCATTTTATATTAGTCTGTATTAATTTTTATTTTATTTTTTATTGTTTTAAAAAATTACACATAAAAAGGAGTTGAGTTCAACCCAAGGGCATCTTTATCTTTTAAATTACTCCTATTGGTGGAGAGCAATTATTTTTACCTGGTGACAGACTCATCTATTAATTTAATCAGCTAAAATGCATCATTTAATCACATGACAATTCTAGATAGTGCTTTTGAAAATATAATTTTTTTTAAAAAAAGATGAATAGATTCATACATTATTCTTACAGTATGAATATTAAGAGTTCCCCAATAGAATGAAATATAAAAAGAGTGAATCTTATTCTAGGCTACTAGGAAGAAGTACGTTTATAGAGAAATGATGAAAAACAACTCGATCTCTTCATGGAAAGAAAAAAAAGATATTCGTTATTCTCTGTCATTAATAGTTCACAACCAATTTTTATTTATGAGCTGACAGTAGCAACAGTGCTGGAATAAGGATGTGAAATAATTCATTCCTGTGTTAAAGTACTTTGACTGTCTGTGCTCTTTTATATGGATTGGTTGAGGATAAATCTTCTAAGATAGAAAAATATTCATTTAAGGGGAATAGTCTGGTAACAGAAGTTTTATATCTATTATGTTTGATCTATAGGCACTTCATGTCAAACGGAATAGCTTTTTTTTCCTAAACAGTTATAAGAAATCTGTTGCTTTTGCTTGACTGTAATGGATTCAATGGGGCAATTTTATTAGCAAGAACAGAGGCAGAGTAACTGTAGCAAAGACACATGGGCTTGGGTGCCATTGTGAACGTTAGTGGACTTCTGAAGCTTACTCCACATCTAGTCTCTTCTTGCAAACCTGGTAACCAACATTACCATCTTAAATGTTGGTTATACAGCCACATTCAGATATTGAGACCTATCCTAGATATCCTGGAATTGTATCCAGCAATGGTTATGATGACTGGATATTGTGGGAGTGGAAGTCCACTCATCAGACTGGGGAAGACTGATATAAAGTTCAACTAGTTGCTTTTAGGATTTTTCTGCTTTCTAGACTGGCCCTGTGGAACAGGTTCTTTTGATAACTCTACCTTTGTAATGGGCAAAGCAATTAGTGTCGGAGGTAGAAGTGGACAGGAGTATTCAGATAGTGAAAATATAACTGAGTACAAGATGATGAAGGATCCTGAGTGTCCCACTTATGGGGCATGGGAAATATGTGAAGTCCTTTTTATTTATTTCCTGACCCAGAATTGTGAGCCTCAGATGACAGTGGTATGGTACTACAAATCTCAGTAGACTTCAGATATCCTTCTCTTTTCAGACAATTTGTTCAATTCTGAGCATATTATACAGTTCTATAAAGGAATTATTGAGTTTGTCATTTGCACATCTATAACTCTGGTTTAGCACTGCAACCAAACAAGACAAACACAGACTTCAATGGATAGCTAGAACTGCAGAAAAAATCAGCTGCTACTAACCTGCCTTCCATTGAGGACCTGTATACTGCACAAGCAAGAAAGAGGGCTGTGAAAATATGTACAGAGTGCTCACATCCTGGGCATAAATTATTTCAACTTCTTTCCTCAAGATGGCGCTATAGGGCATTGCACACTAGAACAACTAGACATAAGGACAGTTTTTTCCCCCATGCCATCACTCTGCTTAACAACTAATTCCTATAACACTATCAAACTAATTAGTAAAGCTGATTACTATGATACTCCTCATCTTTCCTATTACCTATCATTATCTTCTTATGACTATAATGTTGCTCCTTGTATCTTACAATTTATATTGTTTTTTGTACCCTACTATGATTTATGTTGTTTGCTCAGCTAGAACTCTATGACTATCATTAAGCTTGCATCTTATGATTTATGAAGTGTTGTATTTCATGATTTATGATGAACATATTTTTATATTGTTTATGATCATGACCATCACTATTATTTGTATGTACACTGAGAGCTTATGCACCGGAAACAAATTCCTTGTGTGTCCAACTACACTTGGCCAATTCTATTCTATTCTATTCTATTCTATTCTATTCTATTCTATTCTATTCTATTCTATTCTATTCTATTCTATTCTAAAGGCTAATATCATATAACAACTAAGAGAATGAGCAGTGAACAAAGATTTTCCCAGCTGAGATCATAGCAATCCCAAGAAATTTCAGTTTCAGAAAAGCTGTTCCTTATCTAAAATGTAAGATTAAATAATATTGCAGTAGTAATCACTGAGTTGAATTGAGTGCAACATGTAGCAACTCCATGGACATGTCTTGGCAATCATGGAAAGTAACTTGCCACTTACTTTTTGGGGGATGTCTTTTGATTCCCCAATCCAACCTACAGATTTTAATTCAATCTTTCTGTTGGTGTCCTATCCAAGAAGGGATGAAGTGCAAATGTGATTAACTTTTTGGCATTCTAGGGATTTCATATAGGTTGTAAATGAATAATTGATATATCTCAAAAATACTAATCAAGTGTATATTATTATTAAATATCATCACAAATCCAGTGATAGCTCTGAATCAAATAGTGAAGGGGGAGTGCAAACATATTGAAGCTTGGTCAATAAGAGCAGTTTCTTGTTGACCAATAGTCCTTCATCTTGCCTAGATTTAATTTCACCATTTCTCCCATATTCAGTCAAGTGCTGAATATCAGTCAAGGGTTTTGGCTATTTCTTGAAAATTGAATAGAAAGGAGTAATAGAACTGAGTAATATGAGTATGTGACCCTCATATAAATTATTTCCTCTTGAAGTTTTACAAAGATGTTGAACAGCACAGGAGAGAGCATCGAACACCATAGATCTTGCCTTCAGAAACTGTGGGTGCTCCATTACTGGAGGCTTTTGGGAAGAGACTGGACAATCATTTCTCTGAAATGGTATAGGGTCTCTTGCTTGAACAGGGAGTTGGACTAGAAAACCTCCAAAATCCCTTCCAATTTTGTTATTCTGTTATTTTTAAATTGTTTGATCCTGTTACCCCTTATCTCAGCTTTGAGATATTGCTCCCACAAAAAAAAAACATTTTTCATTGTTTTACATAAATATCTCAGCGGAGGCAGTCCCAAACTCGATCCTTGACTTATAAACAAGTAATTGCAAATTGCTTCATTAACTCAGGATATGTCCAAATTAAAGTTCCATTTAAGGTCCTTAGAAATTTCAATTTTTTTTCTGGATTTGGAAAAGGGAACATTGCTTTTTATATCAATTTAAGAAGGCAAAGTTAACTGGATAGTTTTATAGTTTCCCATAAAAATGGAGGGGAGCCATGCTTCTTAGTTTTCACATTTATGGTCAGGATTGCTCAGATCTCAAAAAAGAATCACTACTCTGTCTTTCATCAGCATTTTGGCACTTCTGGATGCTCAAGTGTTCAGCTTAGTAACACTTATAACATTGCCTGAATCTTTTCAGTCATCACTTTAAGACTTTGGATGGAAAACTCCCAATAAAATTGTTTATTTACATAATTTACAGAGATTTCCTGCTACTTTAGGGGGGAAAATACTGTATTTAATGAATATCCAGAACTTTATATGGACTCCAGCTTTAAGAAATACATTTCTAAGGTAAGTGCAAATTTTTGAATAGGGCTGTTTCAGAAGGGGAAAGATCAGTTTCATTCACATTGCGATGACTTTAGATGTGGTGGCTGATGTGGTTAGAATACTGGGTTGAAGGTCAGCTACTGCATGTCTGAGACCCAAGGACTGCTGTTTGACAGGGTGAGCTCTCATCATTCACTCCAGCTCCTGCTGACCTAGCAGTTTGAAAACATGCAGTTGCAAGAATAGCTACCACTTCGGTGGGCACGTTAACAGGAACATGAAAAGATTCCACAACTAGATGTTCCTGGGCAACAGTGATGTCACCAGCTAATCCTTTCAACCCAGAAGTGCCTTGGTGCTTCCAACACAAAAGTGAGTGTGAGCACCAAAACCAAATAAACAAAGCCATCCATCCATCCATCCATCCATCCATCCACCCATCCATCCATCCATCTTTTAAATAATTATCTGTGGAAAAACTGTGGCCTTTTGGGATGAGAATCATTGGAACTAAATTCTTTAGATCTTTCTATTTATTTATCCCAATTTGATGGATCAATTTAACCTAGCAGACAAATTAGCTCTTTACACATACTTCCTAAAAAACCAGAAATTCCTGTCATTTTTTAAAAAAAGACAGAACCCTTAGCTATCCCACTGCATGCTTCCCTTGAATCCAATTGGTCACTCAACTGTGAATCCATCTGGTGGCCTATTGACCTCATTCTATGGTGGTCTATCCATCTCATTCAAGCTATTATTTTATCTACTCTACTTCAACCACTATAACACAAAAGAAATGCATTCAATATTATAAACATAATTGCCAACATGGTACAACCTGAATTTTGGCCATGTAAAGCTTTATAAACCTTGTCTAACAATCAGCAAATCACAGACTTTTTGCACTGAAGGTTGCCCTTCTAACACCTTGAATTTCTGGTCACCACCGTCTGGGGTTAACAAAGAAAGGACATTAAGCTTGGTTTGTTGACTTGGACCTTAAACAAAGCTCCTGATTTTCTCTTATCTATCTTTCGGTGCTGTCTTTTTCCTCTTGGCTGAACAAGTTCCAGCTAAATGACTCATTTATTTTTTGGTTCCCGTAACTACCTTTTCACTCCTGTTTAAACTGAAAAGGGAAGCAAACAAACAAGATTGCAAAAGACGGTGCCTGTTTCCATTTCAATCAGTTTTGCTATATTATATCCCATGCTGATTTTTTGTTACTGGCTGCGAGATGTGCATAAATGGAGAGGTAAGTACTGAGAGATGTTTGGCGTTAAAACCTAGAAAATTATCTTCAGGTAATAATCTACATTATTTCCAACAATTGATTTAAGCAGGATTGATGATCAGCTAGGCACTTAATGAAGCTTTTGAGGTCACCTGTGGAAAATTGCCTTTAGGCCTCATTGTCCCTTAGCTTGTTAGAGGAAAAAAAAATCCTTCTTTTTGCTTTAATATTTGTGTATCTAACAACTCTGGCAAGATCATATTTAAAAAGCCCTATTTTCAGGTTACACACAGGTTATTCTTCCTGTGCATCACAACAGCTGTTTATGGCAGCTATGAATTTGATTTAAGTGGCAATAAAGTTTATGTGGCTAATGCATTACACTTATAGTTTTTCTTTTTTATTCATCAAGGGCCAATGAAAACACGGAAAAGCACGAGAGGTAGAGAAAACCATATTTCAAAAAAGGAAATAGATGTACTTATTTTATTTTATTTTTTTTTTAAAAAAATATGAAAGATCATGCCAACATTTTGTAACCAGCTATAAAATTGGAAAATGTTTTTTTTTGGGGGGGAAGGGGGTGCTTTTGAAATATATGCCAGAAAAAGGAGATTGTAGGTAGGGTTTCAACTTGAATTTAATCCAACATATATCACAGGGGAGATTCTTTTTTTCTTCCAGAAGTAGATGGCATTTAATTATTAGATCACATTTCAGACAATTTACATTTCAAGAACCATGTACTTTTGTGACTAATTGAATGGGTGTGCAGTCTTAAAATGTCACTTTGCATATAGAAATGATTCATCTCTTTGACTTTGCTTGTAAACATATTTCATTGGGGGTCACTAATATGCTTTTATTGCTCTCTGTCAGAGATGATGCTATTACCAAGTCTGATAAAGTATTTTTTAGAGGCCTCTCTTTAATTCCTCCCCCCCTTTATATAATCATGAGAGACTATAACCAATAAATTTAGCTTAAAGGTTCTCCGTGTTAACTAATTCTAAATAAATCTACCAGAACAGGCTAGGTAAAAATATTTCAAAGATTATTTTCCCCACCCAGCAAATACTGAAGCTGATGCTCTCTTTGGGATGATGTTTTAAAATACTTTTAAATTTTTTAATTAAAGTTTATTGTAAGATAAAATATAAATACAACTGAAAATTAAGAAAGTTAAAGAAAGTAAAGCAATAAAAAGAAAGAAAAAAGTAATGATTTCTGATTTTTTTCAATGCAGTAGGATACAAAAAGAATTGCATCATACTTTTTCTTCATATATATATATACATACATATACATATACGTATATGTATACATATTCTTTGTTAGCAATCCAAAAATTTAGGATTTATATGTGTGTGTGTGTGTGTGTGTGTGTGTTTGTGTGTGTGTTTTGAGAAAAGTAGTAGAACACCGGGGTAAATAAAAACAACTGTTTAATAAACTAACAACTGTTTGATAAACTTAGCTTTTGTCGGCTAACAGCCAACGTCGTCAGAGTGGAACGCCGGAGGTTTGAAAGCCTGCTCGTAAGACTGGCAGTTTGTGCACTCTGCTCATAGAATGCATCACCGGTCTACCCGCCCCAGTTGACCGTATTACTTCTAATAGTCTTGCATCCATCTGTATATTTGTAACTTCAGGGATCACCGCCTCTCTTATTGTCACTCTCTTTGCCCGCTTTGGATGTATCCGGGTACACTTTGCTATAGGATGATCCCCCAGTGCCTCCTGTCTTGTGGCCACCCCTTTTTGTGAGTGTGGCACCCCGCTTCCCATCATTGACTCCTGTACGAATCGTGGTGGGGATTTCTCCCCTTTGCCGGTCGTATTTCTTTGCTGTTGCATGAGACAGCGGTTCTGGTCTTGCGTAGGCTGCACCTGTTGCACTTATTGTGGGTTGTTATGTTGTTGTTCCCACTTCCTTAGTGCCTGATAAGAAGCAGTAACTCTATGTGGCGATTAATTAAATGTTCATCCGACAGCCAAGCCTCCTTCAGTAACCGTCCACCCTTGGAGACATCCTGGATGATGGCCTCCGCCCCAGCAAGGGTGGCTGGTTACTGAAGGAGGCTTGGCTGTTGGATTATATATATTATATATATAATAAGAACAAAATCATTCTAACAATCAAAACTAAAATTAGTTTTTTTTTTCAGTTTTGAGCATAAAATCCAGAAGTGGATTCCAAACAAAACTAGATAAATTCTAATTTTTAATTAAAACAGTCAATTTTTCCATCTTGCCAATTCCATTATCTTTATCATTCACTCTAGAATTGTGGATATTAGTATAACTTTCCATTTTTGGGATATGGGATTCTTATTATTGTCACATGTATGAATGTGGAGATACTAGACAAAAAAAAGTACACCAAAAATGAGGACGTTGTGGACCATACAAGATATAAGTCATGATTGCCACTGAAAATGACAGTTTTCTTGGCAACATTTAGGCCAGGAAATCAACTTGCTTCAGATGTTTCTTTGTCCTAACTTGCAACACAGATCTCCTTAATTCAAAATCCTCAGATATGTGGCCTTTCTATATTTTATTATTTGATTAACATTATCATGGTCCATTTTTTTCCAGGTCCATTTTTTCCAAGCAGAAAATTTGGATTGCCAGGAAGAATGGTGTCCAAGATAATTACATGGAGTTATTGTATTGTATAACTGTTTATATGGTTCAACCACTGCTTATAGGAAAATGTCTTCATAAAATTGTACATATGTGGTAGTACTTCCTGACTGCGAACTTATGATCTGGCCTTCAGATTCAAGGCATTTTCATGAATTGAATATTCTGTAACCTTGATATGGAGAATTCTCCAGTCTTGAAATGTTCAAATGTTATGAGAGATTCACTTGTTTATATTACCAACCAGATACCTTGGTAGCTTCTAGACATGTTATAATCATGGTATTTAAGCGGCTTCAATAACATAATTTTGAGCCCATCCTCACAGCTGTGGACACCTGCACACTCTGCCCTTAAATCTGAGCATAATGTTTATTCTTTACATTCTGATTTGAGAAAGAAAGGAAGATAAGAAAGTTCACAATTAACAGCTTTTTAGCTCCATTCTGAGGTTAATTCAATATTCATTTAGCCTCAGATCCATTCTATGTCAGCCTTTTGTGTTCATTAGTCTCTACTGTGGTAAGTGTAGAGACTGTTTCTTGGCTATATTGATTGTGAGATGCTGTGATTGTCAGCTGATACTTTTATGTTTTTTTTTTGTGTGTTTCTAATTATTGGTTGGTTATGTTTTTATTCTGTTTTTCCCTTTTCTAATTATCAGCTGCCCAGAGTTATGTACAGGTAGTCTTTGACTTACAACAGTTCCATTTAGTGACTGTTTGAAGTTACAAAAGCGCTGAAAAAAGTGTCTTGTGACCATTTTTCACCTTATGACCATTGCATGACCCCCATGGTCATGTGATTTATATTTGGATGCTTGACAACTGATTCACATTATGATGGTTGTAGTGTGGTGGGGTCATGTGATGACCTTTTACAACCTTATGATAAGCAAAGTCAGTGGGAAAACAAGGTTCACTTAACAATTGTGTTGCTAATTTAACAACTACAGTGATTCAGTTAACAAATGTCACAAGAAAAGTCATAAAATGGGACAAAACCTACTTAACAAATTTCTTACTTACCAACATAAATTTTGGGCTCAATTGTGGTCGTAAATTGAGGACTGTATATGATATTGTAAGCTGTCCAGAATCACTCAACAGTGAGATGAGCAGAATATAAATAAATCAAAATATAAGATGGTAGGTCATGTAAGTTTAATAAATAAATAAATAAATAAATAAGTGATACTCAAATATCCACTCTAGCCATTATCCCTTTTCCCAACTGGAATCTACTTATTATCTTGTTTTTCTGTAGAGATAACTTAACTTTGTCTTCTCCAGAAAAAAAGCTTTTTTAATTAATTCCTTATTTGCATCCTAAATCTGGTGCCATATCACAACCTGCCAGAACTCTACTCATTTTTATGGACTTTACAAGGAGTTACATCCTATATATGAGCTGTTAGTTTGGAGATTAGTATAATCAAAGAAGGATTCAAAATACTATTGGATTTCAGCTTTTAATCCTTATGAAGAATTCAGATTTGCTTTTAATCAATATTGTTAATTAAAAGGTACATCTCTCTCTTTCACACACACACAAACATGGACACTCACACACATGCACATGCATGCATGCACACACAAAAACACAAACACTCATTTACTCTTAGTCCAGTTTAACCAAGAAAGTTGCATCTATTTGATTATAAATGTGTACAACAGATACATCTGAACTCTAGATAGGATAGTGATATACTCAAGATTTAAGTTAATTGCAGTGAAGAAAAAAAAACAAGGTGTGAAGAATGGAAACAAGCTAAATTACTGAATTAGTGTTTTGCTATATTTACCTTGTATTCCAAGAGAATTTTTATATCCTTTCATATATTTTTTAAAAATTATTTAACATAAACTGAAAGTAATTTCATACTACCTTATCAATTAATTTGTTTTGTCTAATGCTGACTTGGAAGAATTCAAATTTTTAAGGCCATAAATTTACCTCCTACTGAACCATGAAATAAACTATTTAGTTGCATAACTTTGTGAAATTTAAATCGATTTTGACTTCATGGAATTGCCTTAACTCTTCTTTTAAAGGAAATATTTCTTTCATAATCACTAAACTAGTTTTCAACTAAAGGATGTATTTACCAAATATATAAAAATGGTCTTAACCTAATAGGCTAGTTAATGGAAGATTAACTAGTTCTATTTCCTCAATGACGCAAATATTATACTGGCTTTTATATTCAGAAACTAGTAGCAACATTAAAATTTTCAATTCACTTTGAGGAATGACAAAACCGGTGCACCTGATTAGTTAAATGATTGAACAGAATCTTGGTATTAGTATACTACAATTCATCGGTACATCAAATATTCAATATGAAATGCAAATTCATGAATGAATTCTGG